AAAGATGATTGACGACCAAAGCCCTTTTACGGTGACCGCGCGACTCGCAATTACAACTCGTAAACAATTATACTGCCAAAGCAAATTATTCTCGTTAAGTAAAGACACCCTTCTAACGATAGCGCGTTATTTCTTCATTTTCCCGCTTTTCATCGATAATAACACGTACAGTTTTTGCGAGAAGATCGGGCGTCAATTGTTTGACCTTCCCATTCGGGAAACCTTGCGGAAAATTAAATTAACAACAGGAACGCGGTCAAAACGCGTTGCGGTGCGTTTCCATTTTCTTGTCCCCTATCTCACGTGCATTTCTGCCGGAATGGCGGAAACACTAATTCCGAATTTTATGAAACCTTAACGTGCCATTAACCCGAACCGCCAGATTGCTAGCTGCAAGATTATATCGTTTAAGGAACGATATTTTTTTTTACGGCGAAAAAATATATATATATAATCCACTTTCCCGAATTCCGATATAACGCGGAACGATCGCCATAACCAGATAGCGCGTTTATCTCGCAAAAGAATATCCCATCCGTCTTATTAAAAGAAGATTGCGAAATCGTGGAAATCATCTGAAATAACGAGAATGAAATGGAAAGTTATCTAAAGTAACTTTTCTTATCACCCGGTTATTGACCATCGGATGATAGTTAAAAAGTGACGCTTCAGTCACGACTCTATAATGGCACATCCTACTATTGTAGAAGCTGTAAAAAGTAGTTAATGGTGCTAAAAGGAAACCCTTTATTATCGCGGATCTATAAGATCGCTTCCCAGCTTGATTCACGATCCAGCAAACTGGAGCACGACTATCTCAGGAATAAAAGAGCCATCGGGATGCCAATCCGAGCTTTCGACACAAAGGGACTCGCTAAAAAAAAAAGATTAGGCAGGAAACGTGCAACAATACAATGGACTTCTTTGCTGCCAAGCCGACGTTTTCCGAAGTTGTACAATTGTTTAATCTAAGAAATCAAGTGAACGTACCTAAATCGGAAAAACGTTAGTTACCTATGACACTTTTTTAAGCCCGTTTAGGTAAAAAAAAATGCTATTATTTGCATTGGACAATTTTAAAACAGTTAAAAGAAATTCTTTGTGAAAATAATTGCAAGATACGATTATTTCCCGTCCTTGGGTAAATGTGATAAATTTAGAGACTCGTTCGTTGCTATTAATCAGCTGTTCCTGAGAGATCTTGAATTCTGGTGACTAATTAAACATTACGTCCGTCTGTTAGGTGGTATCAGATGGAAGCGGTAGAAAGTGATGTAAGAAATGAGAGGACCAGTTTCTTTCCCGTCTCTTTCCTGCTCGAAGGCATCAATCGGTCGGTCGTTCCTTCAGGCTGATTGGTGATCGATCGGCACGCAAGAAGTCGACCTAATTGTGATCTTGCCTTTAAAGTCGCCAGTATAGGCCGACCAGACGTAACCGGCCATTCCCTCGTAAATTGTCGCCACTTAATTGTAATTCCCGGTTACACCTCGTGACCCCTGCCCGAGTAGAAAATTCTTCTCGAGATGAAAAGTTGGCAACTAAATTGAGTTCTCGACTAATTTGTATCAATTTAATCAACCCCATGAAGCCCGTGACAAATTAAATTCGGCGATAAACTTCCACGTTACACCTTAAACAGCAAGAATATATTTAATTACGGATGCATATAACACGAAGAAAAAATAGAAAATAATTGTTTCACAAATTTGGTTACCCGGTTGATATAATTTCACACAAAAGTTACTTCGGTATCATGTTCGCAATCTTTTTTTTTCTTTTTTTCAACAAGAATTAAATATGAAATGAATAGAAATAAGAATGTACGGTAATTGAAGTTTTTAAAGTGTTAATTAAATATCTCATTTGAGTATGTAAGGTTGTGCAGGTACGTTTCTCAGGTGAATGCAAGTATGTCGGCGCTTCGCGAACATTTTACAGATTCAGTAATCTTTGATTGGGTGGTAGTATTGAACATACCCTAGTAGCATAGAATAATTTCTAAATATTTCTTTCTAATCTCTGCTAAATATCTCAAGCGACAGATTTTTTAACATTTCTTGTAGATTTCATTCGAAAATATCTGAAATATTTGTTGAGAATCTCAATGACATATTTAGTTTCAATAATTTATAAACATATATAGAAATTATATTTTTTAATTTATGAACACGTAATAAAAATACATTTTTTACTTCACTACTGCTGTCGGACACTTCATTTGGTATCAATAAAACACGAGACATTTTTCTAATATTTTCGTCCCGTTATTTCATTATGGGAGCAGAACGTGTGATTGTGATTTTAAGTATTTTTCAAACTTTATAATGCACTTGGCGAATATTTAAAAAATACTTGTATTAAAATGAAACTAAATGTTTTGTATATCTGGTAGAAGAATATTATGAAAACACGTGGAGCTAGTATTATATAAATATTATAGGGATAATATTCTAAAGTAAACGTTTTGCAAATATTTCAAATGTCTGTTAAATATTAACAAAATGTAGGATATTCGTTAAATATATAGAAAATATAGGAGAAATATTTCGTGCTACTAGGGTAGTTCAACAACAAATTTCGAATAAACCTCTTTCAACCAGACGTAGTGAAACGAGCTCTAATTGAATCTAATTGACTGCAAACTCCCATTGATTTGAACGTCGAAATTTCGCACGTGTAGGATACGAACGCGAGAGTCTATAAACAATTGTCGGAATTTCACCGAGAGTAATCGATGAATGCATTTATTCGCCGTTGATCGGCCCGTCTAGGCATCGCTGGCGGAAACTCCTGAATAATTGATAGAGATTGGAAATTTATTAGTATATGTTATTTATTCGGAAACCCACTTCGCAAACGAGGGTAATGAACAAAACTGCTACCGATGAGACATTTCAAACGCGAAGGTGGATCGTGGGAGATAGAAGATTAAGTATAAAAAAAATGCAAACAATAGGGTGATAGCCGAAAAATGGCCGGGGCTAATTGGTTTGCAATTGAAATGAAATGAATTGCTTAAAGCCGGAATTTTCTCACGCGAAGGACTCGCATGCGAGGCGTGACGTATAAATCAGCAATCAAGAAAGGAATTTCTGCAATATGCACCACGCGATGCAGATATTGAATATTCCTAGCAAAAAGCGGTGGCAGCGTCGATTTACTCAAGGCCTCGTTAGGATCTAGCCAATAAATCAAGGAAATTTCACGAGCCATTTACCGGCTGCAACTGTACCGATGATGAAATTCGAAGACGTAAAACTGAATTTTGATTATTCATGGAAAACCTAGGGCAAGTCGGTCCATTATGCATACCTCTTCGGTGTAAATGTTGCACACGATCGACGCCGGGCAAGGGAATTATGCAAAGATTACCGCAACTTTTACGAGGAAAATTTCCGAAAGGTTTCGGCAAAATGAAACGGTAATCGATGCTTCGGAAAAGAGAGAGAGAAAAAAAGACATTTTTAGGCTGAATTATTCTGAATAAATGGCGCGCAAAGGAGCATAACAAAAATATGTGGAGAAAAATGAAGAGAAAAATTGTTTCCGCCCGAAATCATAGATTTTGGCCATTCTTGGGGAATGCAACATCGACGAAAATCATCATTCAAAATGAAACCGTTTTAGGTTGAATTTTTCTGAATAAATGGCACGCAAAGGAGCATAAAAAAAATATGCAGAGAAAAATGAAGAAAACAGTTTCCGCGTGAAATCTTAGATTTTAGCCATTATTGGGAAATGCAACATCAACGAAAATCATCATTCAAAATGAAACACTTTTAAGCTGAATTTTTCTTAATAAATGGCACGCAAAGGAGCATAAAAAAATATGCGGAGAAAAATGAAGGGAAAAAATGTTTCCGCGCAAAATCTTGGATTTTGGCCATTCTTGGGAAATGCAACATCAACGAAAATTATCATTGAAAATGAAACATTTTTAGGCTGAATTTTTCTGAATAAATGGCACGCAAAGGAGCATAAAAAAAGTATGCAGAGAGAAATGCAGAAAACCATTTACGCGCGAAATTTTAGATTTTGGCCATTCTTGGGAAATGCAACATCGACGACAGGCCACGAAAGTGAAACTCTTCCGCTTCCTTGTAGGTCGCACCCCTTATTTAAGATCGACTAATCCAGAGAGATTTTTTTTCCCCAAAGCAGGCGGATTTACGTTGGACAGTGGTCAAGGAATTAAAATACCAACTTGTGCGTAAGTACCTATTTCCAAAATAGGGAAACTGCGCCTCGTGACGTGACACATGCACTCGCATAAGAGATCGACTTTCGATCGACCTGCAGATCGAGTGACAGGATTGCACGGAGACACTCCTTTTTTCTCCTTCGATCCACGGAGTCATGACTAGTCATGTCATGATTAGTCACCGAGTAATGACCCCGACTGATCGACTTTTTCCTGCGATCACCGACTGCTCAACCGTGACAATAAATAAGACAATCCTTCACGTATCCTACCATTTAAAATCCACGCGACCAAAAGCTCGACTTTTAGCCGCAGCCAGCATTCCCCTTCGATTATTAATTAAGAAACCGACAATTAATTGGTAATCGACCCTATATCAACTAGTATATAATTTCCTTCAAAATTAGCAAAAGGTGCTATTGAGAATGACGAATGTCTTGCCTGGGAGAGACCTTGATGTATTTTTAAAAGAACTCAGTGTCCACTAAATATCGACAACAGATCCAAAAGAATTAGTTATTGTAAAAATAGTACTTTCACCACCTACGTGAATCCCTTAAGAAGGTTTCAAAATGAATAGTTGCGGGACTTACGGCAAATATACAGTAAAAAAATGGCCTTCGCGGAGAAATATGCATATTTTGTGTGTATATGTACTTGGCGCAGAACTCTGCCGAGCTGAGACTCTATGCTGATGACAATCCAAGCCAGATGTAGTAGAAAAATTATTTCCAGCGCCGTGTCATTTAATCTGCATGTGTCGTAATTTAATGATAACTTCTCTTTTTTTTCCCAGACCGTGAACAATGAAGCGCAACAAAGTGATACTGATTCTGTGCATCATGGCCTCGACTTGTCGTGGGATCTCTTCACCTTGGAGGCCAGTGGTACCCTCCCAGTTCACTTCCGGTTTGCTTCACCAGGAAGCTGCAGTTTACAGCGATGCTCCTCTTTCTCCTTACGGCCTCGAGGACTCTTTACCGCGTTCCCATTCTCTCTCTCTTCACGATCGCGATCAGTGTGCTCTATATAAGGTCTCGATGCGCCAGCAACTCTACTTCGAGGTGAGTCGATTAAAGATTACCTATGATTTCGATAACGATGCCCGGGCCAAATAATTAAGAGGAATAACCGCGAATCAAACGATATCAGTTAATGAGACCAAAAATTATTCGTCGTAATGTGGCATCTCGAAAAAAAAAAAAATGTATCAAAGTACTGTCCGGTAATCGTGGAATAAGAATGACCAAGCTAAGTGAAATATTGTTCACTGTTAAAGAAACATATTATAATTTTATAACATATCTTCAAATAAAATGTATAACGTATATATTATAAATTTAGTACACATGTGTAAGAAATTTATAACATATGTTATACATTTCTGTTGATCAGTACTTGGTATTATGTGTTCTTAATTTTTCACGAAATGTCCTGGCGCGTTAGGTATCGATTCCCTTGCGGACAATTATCTTGTTTTTTATTTATATTATTTTTATTTCGCCGTAGATGTTAATAATTAACCGAGAGTAATGCACCAACGTTATCAGAAACGTTTACGCAAATTGTATCAATACTAAAACAAAATTGAATATAAAGAATAATTAATTATTAAAGAAAGGCATGTCACTTTCCGAATCGAACTCTTCTCATGACATTGCGAACTTACATGTGCAAATTATGGAATCACAAGAAAATTCATAAAAAAAAAGAAAAAAAAAAGAAAAAAGAAAATGCTCAACTATCGCCTCAAATCTCGCAATTTTGAAAGAATGGTTGATAACCATTCTGCCAGCAAAGAGGAAAGTCTCTTCCCAAGATTCACTATACTCCGCTTTTTAACTAACGATCCATTGTGCTCCGTACGATAATCTGGGTGAGCCCATAACTGTACTTCGATGCGAATTGACTTAACTATTATGATTACGCAGAGGACAATGGCGACGATGATGCACTTGCAAAGAGTACTTTCGGAAAATTGACGGGAATGGGATAATGATCGAAGCCGTCAAGAAGTCACGATTCGCTGAACCGTTCTCTTGAAAATAAAAGTTCAACGCCTTCTACCTCGTATCTCGATATCCTTGTAGAACAGAAAAACGGGCGATCTAATTAACAGCAGCTATAAATAATTAATACGACTTTGCCAGCAAAGAGGGAGACCTGATATCGTAGTCTATACTAAATGTTGTTAACTTATTCGAATTAATTCCCTCGGCCTACCACAGCCTCTGAATTATTCCTAGGTATATTATCTTGCTAACAGTTATACCTCGCGCCTATAACAACCACCTCGGTAATAATCTAGATTATGCAAATATTAATATAGTTATCACGAGTGTTGTAACTCGATAGAATTGGAGCTGACCACGAGCTCTAGAAATGATGTTGAGGTCGCAATCAACGAGGCTTGTCGACTCCTGGGTATACGCAATGTTCAGAATTGGATAAAGCGCGATAAACCTAGGAGAGAGAGAGAAAGATAAAAATAATATGCAACTACGAAGCCGATAAGCATTCTCCGACAACCGCGACAAGTGAGTCTACAAGTCATCGTGGAATTACGTCAAGTCGGAAATCACTTTCCTGGATTAGGAAATTGCTGCGTTCCTGAGAAACTCCTGCTGTCCCGGCATTAATTACTTATTGTCACAGAGGAAGGAAACACCTTGCTTAAGGTGAAGTGAAAAACGTCGAGGAACTTGATCGACGTCGATAAAGATTTTTCTAAATGCCTACGTTGTCGACGTTCGTTTTTATATTAACAGCTGTATCGAGTTATATTGGATATTGTACCAAATGGCATACTCCACCTGTCGTTTTCGTACAATAAATATCAAGAAATCGAAGTAAAACTCCAGAAATCCTCTGAATTCATGCTTTCTGGGGCCCTAATTGACTGCAGAGGGACACCTTGTGCCATCTGTGATTTCCAGATCAATTAAAATTTCACTCCGAGACCTCGCATTCCCGTCGTTTTAGCATAGAAGCGCATACAACACTTTTTTTGCCTTTATCCCGTTGAAATGCGAGTTTATCGATTACCAGAGTGTTCTAAATTGTCGTAAAATTGTCCTGACACTTTCATTTCTCATATCAGAGCCTTCGATAATTGTATATTGATCGAAATATGAGAGCTCGACGCCATTTTAGTTCTGGTCTGGGCAGAGTTAAAAAATGTTTTCCAAAAATCCAAATTTTGAATGTGTCAGGACAATTCTTAGATGATCAAGAGTGATGTGTCAAAGTTTCGGACAGTTTGGTCTAACACCCTTAAAAAAAAGTGTTGTATATGAATCGACTGATTTGAAGAGGGTTTCACTTCACATTAATTACTCAAAGTTCTAAAAAGATTTGACACGGCGAAAAGAATTCTATTGTCAGAGAATAATCTACCGGCAATGCTAAATATAAATAAAAAAAAAAATCTATCTCGCAGTTGGAATTTCCTCTAAGTCGGAATAAGATGGAGAAACGTTAACGAAAGTAGAAAGGAACCATGAATTACCAAACGTTCACCTGTAATAGGTGCCGAACCGATCAATATGCTAAAACCCGAAGGCAATCGATCTGCACGTCCTTTCGCTACCATTTTTTTTTTTAAAGAGAAAGGGAAAGAAATCAAAGAAAAAGGAAGATAAGAAAAATGTAAAAGAAGTGGAAGAAGGTAATTATTGACCGTGCGACAGCGTTAATTTCGGAACGTCGATTCGGTACATGGTATGACCGAGGTATTGAACTTCGCAATTGCAGTCCCATTGACGGTCTGAATTTCTCTCTTCCGCTTGAGTGGTGGCAAAAGAAAATCAACGAGAGAAGATTTTAGTGGAGAGTGCAAGTGAACGGTCACTCGTACGAAAGGAAGACGCCGGTGAAAGCAGAAAACGACGTCGGTAAATCTGCTTTAAAATGAACCTCCTGTCTCGCTGAATCATTTTCCCGGTATTCAATTAAATTAGAAACAGGAGAAAAGAGAGGATAAATTCCCCGAAGGGGAATCAAGTTAATTGGGAAAATGTTCCCGGGCAAATTTACCATTACAGTATTTCTCGTGGTTTTTTGCGAAAACGTACAGTGTTCGATTGCTCGCCGGAAGGTTCAACCTTTCTCTAAACAAATTCAAGAATCTGACGGAAACTCGAGGCAGTAAAATTTACACGTGTTACAGAGATATATATTTTATTCTTTCTTATTACAGAGGCAGTGAAATTTAAACGCATTACCGAGGCAGTGAAATTTAATCGTATTACAGAGAAATATATTTTATTCATTCTTATTACAGAGGCAATGGAATTTAAACGTGTTACCGAGGCAGTCAAATTCAAACGTATTACAGAGAAATATGTTTTATTCTTTCAGCGAAAATTGATCGATTGAATAAGTGAACTATTCCACGTGATAACAACAAAATAATCGACCCTCGCTTGATTATCTTGGCCCAATGTTGAAAATACCATCGGTACATGTTAGAGCCGATATCGAAATTACATCCTCAGCCTAACCCTTTCAACACGGAGCCATTTCGACATATGAGCGAAATTCGTTTGACCGTGCAGGCAATATTGGACCAAACGTCGGGCCAACATCGAAAAATGAAGCAGTTTTATAAAAAGCCGACAAACGATTGGCCCACTCGAGAATCAGACATGTAGGAATATCTGCATTGGCCATGGTTTAATTAAACATTGGGCCAATATCAGCCCTAACATGTACCGATGATATTTTCAGCATTGGGCCAAGATAATCGGGCAAAGCCCGACCACCAATGTTATATACCCGTAAAAATTCGGCACCCGAAACGAAAAAAACGATGACTTCGTTGAGACCGGAATTAATTCCGTGATTAATTATCGACGGGTCAGCACTCGAGTAAAAATCAAAAAACGAGACTAGGGTACCAGGAGAAAAATTTCATAGAGAGAGATGAACTTCCAGGTCCGGAAGTGGGGAAATTGCCCTCAACCCAAATCCAGCATTTCGGAAGCACTTTTCGCGATCCGGACCTACCGCAACGAGATGCATCCCGAACTCGCAATTGGCTACCCACTGGTAACGCGTCCCTCGCGAGCGAAATTCTCTCGAGGGAGTAAAAAAGTCATTTCCGCGAGAATGCCCTCGATGGACCGTTGAACGTAATTCCCGAAACAGTCAGGAAAATCGAAACGCAATCGGCTGACGAGACGGATCAATTTGTGCATTCTATTGCTCAAAATGCATTACATTTGCCATTATGCATTTTGAATCGTAGTAATACGAAATATTAGACGTCTAACATCGAGCTTAAAAAAATATAGCTCACTGATGAATGTTTTTATATGTCGATAACACAAAAATCGATTAATGAGAGTTTGAAATAGACGAACAGAATTTCCGAAAATTAAACCTAATCAATTTTTATCTCGTGACTTTATTACCGGAAACAATTACCTCCGAATAGATGCAGCATGAAGACATATGTCATAATTTTTTTTTCCTACAAAAAGGCGCAAGCCAGCGCACCTGGAATTAACGTTTGCGTAAATCAACCCTTATACAAGAACTGATTGAATTTTCATTACAGCGGGGATATGTGAAGACTTTGTATGTACTTTACGCAATACTCCTCACTATATTCCGAAAAAAAAAAATCATTTTTCGCTTGGTCTTGTACAAGGATATTCATCACAAATTAATAAATCCACCACAGAATTATGTATAAGCATTAATTAATTAAACGCCCACATTCGACTTATATCTCCGAGTCTTCTTTAGATTCTTCAAGATCTCCCTTACATGTATCAGAACGAGTCGATTGTTACATACTAATTAAAAAATTGGGTAGAAGATAGAATGCCGAGAAATAAAGAAAAAAAGATGCAAATTTTAGATTCCGAAAACGTTTTGATACTAAATAATATTTAAATTAACCTAGTGTTCGGTGCTTTCTAACGCGTACACCATTGTCAGGGAAGATAAAGGGTGAAAGAAAGAAAGAAAAAAAAAACTTGCGAAAATAAAACAAGGAGCTTAAGTGCCAATTGCGCGTTACGTTGACATGCGTGCGGAACGACGTCGCTTTCTCACGCGGCGCCGCTTTTCCTCGTCGCGAATCCTTGCCAAGTCGCTCGCAAAACCTATTTGCGCTTGTTGCATCACGAGAAAAAGAAAGACCGAGTCTCAGCCCGACCTAGATGAGGCCGTTCCGTTTCTGATTGGCAGTGGAGCGAAAAACGCACCGCCGAGCTGGAAAGAACTCCCAGAAATCGCGACGGAGACAACCGATAGCGCCAATAAATGCCCAATAATAGCCGTTCCGTTCGTGTCGATATTTTCTCCCGCATATTATAAAGAGGGTGCAATAAAGCTGGGAAGTAAAAAAAAAAATGAGTCAGAAAGTTGCGTTCCGGTTTACGTAACGTGGGCACCCGATTTTATGCAACTTTTACTGGAAAAAGTGCGAAAGGATTAAGCGAAGTGAGCAGATTGTGAGAGTTTCGACTGGTTATTAAGAAATTCGTATGAAATATGATGGATTACGTTATCTTAAGAGGATATGAAAGAGTCAGCTTATATATATCTGAGAGGTCAAATCGTTGGGGAAAGTATTCTCCGAATTGTGTACCGATTCGTTTTACCACGGGAATATGGAGGCTCTAAAGCAGGTCATGAAACTCATGAAATTTCATATATCATCCAAAATTTATTTACTTATCATGGACTGGAATCAACATGGCGTAGTCCGGGCACGCTTTCGATGTTTTACGTTTCTTGGAGGATTCGAATCGAAAAGGAAGAGTTTCAGGATCTAGCTCGAACAATTAATAATACCGTAGAAATGGAATATTACAGAGTCATATGGGAAAATGTGGTAAATACTTTCACCAACGATTGCGAGAGAATACTGGCTTGTCCTGCGTCTAACACGTGTTTTTGGAGCAAAAATTTAGTTGCAGCTAAACGTCACAGATGGCGACGTTGGTCCTAAACAGTCGTTAGAATAATGAACTCACGGGATTTTGACAGTTTCACGTCGATCATTTTATCATTAATTTACCGAAATGACATATAGAACCCTTCAATTCGTATCATTCTCAACGTAGACTGTAAACGATCAACATAAATATAAATGTCGATAATGGAACGCGCCAGTTTATGTTCTCACTTGAGTATTCAAAACGGCATTACCCCCAAAAAGGGTATGGATGAATTTTACTTTATCGACGCCGATTCAATTTCTTAGCGCCTTTCATATCCTCTTAAGTTTGCGAAATTTAATACAAGATGAAGAGAGTTTTTGAACATTGCTAATTACCTGCTTTCACAATTTCGATCAATGCCACTTTTATAGATGACGATGACGGATGATGCGTGTACTCGTACAGTTTTTAAGACGACTCGAGGATCTTCGATTATAAGATATGACTTTCAAGAAAAAAAAAAAAAAAAAAAATACTTGCACCACTTACACTACACACTGGGAAATTTAGTTTTAGACTTTTAGAAGAACTGAAGTTCTCAATGGTACCGCGTATATTGAATTTAAAAAAACAACATTTACGTACTGCGTACTTCCGTATGTCATACTCTACATTGGTACGACCACTCGGCTCTCTCGTTAACAACTCACTAATCCAAAAATACTGGCAAGCCAAGGAATTTCTAAAGGGGGGCGAGGCAATCAGAAGGCGAATGTAAACAGAACAGAGAAAAGACCCAATCACAGCTCGTAGGCAATAAAGTGACAACAAAGACCGAAACAGCGATTCCTGTCGTCGTCAGTTTTACAACTACATAACTCTACATACTCGAGATAGCCTACTTCGAGGATATCAAAGAAAGAAATTATTACATAAAAAGAAACGTACCTGACGGTCCCGAGAGCCGGAGGAAATGATGAATAGAAAACGAAAGTCACCACGCGTAAACTAGACCGCTGAGAAGGCCGACCTCGACATTAACGCCGACCTCATGTATGAACGGCATTAAAATCACCGAGGACAAATTACCTCGAAGCGGTTTTCGCAGATAGTAAATTCCTATCCTACCACCAGACAATATATCCCGTTTTAAGGTGAAGTGAAACACGTCGAGGAACTCGATCAACGTTGATAAAGAAGATTTTTCTAAATGCCTACGTTGCGGACGTTCGTTTTTATATTGACAGCTGTGTCGAATTATATTGGGTATTGTACCAAATGGCATACTCCACGTGTTGTTTTCGTAGGATAATTATAAAGAAATCGAAGTAAAACTCCAGAAATCCTCTGGTTTCATGCTTTCGGGGGCCCTAATTAACTGCAGAGGAACCCCCTGCGCTATCTGTGATTTCCAGGTCAATTAAATTTTCACTCCGAGACCTCGTATTCCCATCGTTTTAGCATAGAAGCGCATACAACACTTTGTTTGCCCTTATCCCGTTCAAATGCGAGTTTATCGATTACCAGAGTGTTCTAAATTGTCGTAAAATTGTCCTGACACTTTCATTTCTCATATCAGAGCCTTCGATAATTGTATATTGATCGAAATATGAGAGCTCGACGCCATTTTGGTTCTGGTCTGGGCAGAGTTAAAAAATGTTTTCCAAAAATCCAAATTTTGAATGTGTCAGGACAATTCTTAGATGGTCAGGAGTGATGTGTCAAAGTTTCGGACAGTTTGGTCTAATACCCTTAATAAAAAGTGTTGTATTCGAATCGACTGATTTGAAGGGGGTTTCACTTCACCTTAAGGAAACTTCCCCTCCTAAAAATAAATGAAGTTCATCATTAAAGCGTCTTCAAAGAAATCTTAACCTCCCCGGAAAAGCTCAAAAAGCTCAAAACGCTCAAAACGCTCAAAAAGCTCAAAAGGCTCAAAAGCTCCAGATTTACCGAATGACCTCTTCAGGGCGAGGCGTAATGGGATTTTACGTGCAAATTACTTCGAATTTCCATGCAAATCAACCCCTTTGATTAGTTTCACTTCTCGATAAAAAGGGGAACAAGCGGAAAATAGAACGCGTGAATAAAAAATGAGAATGCCCTTAATTAGGGTAGCTGGGGATTGGAAAAATCGGGACCTACAGTGCAATTGCAGAGCGATGCACGAAATATGCATTCGGGAAATTGGAGGTGCATGTAATGCGTTATAATAACTGGTGTGCATATTGCGTGGAGCATTGCACCGAAAGGCGAGTACCTGTATGTACGTTTATGTACGCCTAGACGTAATCCCGTTGCAACTCTTGTCGTAAACGACTCGACATAAGTGCTTCGGGCGAATTTCCGCCACCCGGTGCAATGCGCCATGTTGCAATTGAAATTGTTATCGTTACATCCCGATGCAAGGGAACCATAATGACCTGCAAATTGGTTTAATATTCAATGACGCGTCCTAACTAAAAAACGAAGTAATTCATAGAAGCTTTTCGCAAAAGTGCGCATATGCATTGATTAAAAAGAAAACCTGCGAACTGAATTTAATTAATTACAGAAGCGGCGGAAAAGTTTCTTCCGATTTGACATAAATTACGTATCGGGGCATTAGGGTGAGATTTATTTACCGAAAATGTTTCGAGCGATATTGCAAATAATGATAATTGTATCGGGCGATTAATTTACTGGGCGAATTCGGTGAAAGTGCATCCAGGAAACGCAACGAACTGTACCGCAAGTGATAAGAGCCACTTGATAATAGCCCTCGGTCTTTTCGGGAAATATATGCAAGTTGAATATCGTAAGATCATTAGGCTTAAAAGTATGTTGAATAATTGTTATTTTTTAATTTTGTTACTTTACGCAGGGCACGCTACCGAATAATTTGGAGTAAACGTGGAATACTGTTTCTTTACTGTTCAACATACATGCAATTGCATTGAATTATACTGGATTTATGAAAATATGATTATTATTTGTTCTTCATGAAGTCATTAGATATGTATACGTTGAATATACCCTGAACTTGGTCTACGTATACCGGATGTACTTTACACACCCCAGATACCCAAACTTTATCCTATTTATAATTAGTATCCGGAGCGAAGTTAGATGTCACAGATGCCGCCATTGCGGTAATGAGAACAGTAACCGCACGAAAGTTCAGAAACAGAAATTCTGCCCCGGTAAAGCTATTTTTATGAAATACTGAAATAGTAGGTGAAAAAGTCCTACAATCTGACACTACAGAAAAATTGTATCATTCTCTGCTTGTGCAGACGTATTACCTAAAGAATTATGTTATCACAATTGCAATTAAAAAAACGGGGAAAAATCGCAAATACGGCAAATGTTGCAGTTAAAATTGAGATAATTCCGAATGGAACGTCATTAGCAATGTTCTTTCCACGTACAAGATTACATGAATTGAAGAGTTATCGTAAAAGACTGTTCTTATCCGAGGAAATTGCGCTTTCAAGGGTTGATCTCCCCGAAATGAACTCCCAGGCGTTTTTATCGCGGAAGGGTCAATTCGAGGCGAAGATGCACCGATAATTGACGACCTATCGGAAACTTCGAAACAGCAGAAACGAAGCACGTAGGGAGGATCAAGTGGTTCGGTACTGGTGTGCAAAAGTTCCGTAATTGGCAGACGTGTCGGATCCCGATGCGAAAATCCCCGACCTCCGCCACTTTCTGGGAAACTTCGGGGAAAAGGGGAACCGCGCTTTCATCGAAAAAAAAACAATTTCCGAAGGAAACTGGCAAGCTGGACGGTTCATTCGGGAGAAAACGAGAGGAAAACGTGACAAATTATCGAGAAAGATTAAAACCCCTGAATTCAGGAACGTACTTTATCGACTGGGTATATATTTCAAAGTTATAAATTAAATTATAAAATTTCCCCAAGAGAGATAAATTATAAAAATTACAATTAAACCGGTTTATTGCTTTAACGGACGGATTTCGATACGACGTCCTTTCGGTGTATTAAAACGTGTAACTGTAATTCATCGTTACTTTTATCTGGCGAAAGAATTACCGGGATTCTCTGCGAAATATTAATTAATCATTTCTTTTCCAGTACATCCATTACAAGACAGACCTGCCTGATTTGAAGGAGTTCACACTGTGCATGTGGACCAAATTTCACAACCACTCGAACGATCATCCCCTCTTCTCATATGCTGGTAAGGAACATTCATCTTACTTAATGCATTTTTTTATAATTTAAATTCAATCCTTATAGCTGTATAAAAAATATTCTAAAACAATCGCCATGATTGCCCCACACTATATCATTTCTCACGTAGTGGTAGCACACACATTATTTTCGACAATTAAGGTATTTAACATATTCGCGACTGCTGACGTGAATTCACGTAATTTTAAATTCTATTCCTGATTGCCGCTGACGTGAATCACGCCCTGCTTAGTTGGCTCACTAATTGCTAGCCGGCGCGGCGCACAAATTTTATCATTTTTATCCTTGCTTTAACGACACAAGTTTGCGGCAACCAGTTTCAGAATTTCATTATTTTCGCCTGCACTTAGTATTTGAAACGGAAAAAATTTGCCGGTCGCGAATGTGTTAAAAGGACCTCTATACATTCTCCCAATTCCTGAGGACACCTGACTCGACACTCAACATCTCTCACTTATCGTTGTCCAGTAACCTTTCCTTTGGTTCGTTATATAAGTCCACAACCCGGAAATATCCCCATGAAAGAAAAAGTCAAAATCAATGAAAAATCCCAACTTCCGGTGGACTCGGCAATGATCGAAAGTCCCGCAATGCGGAACCGCGCATACAAAATCGACGGCCTCGGGGAACAAGAGAAGAGTTCCTGCAAGTACGAACAACCTGACACTTGGTTCGACTGTTCACTTCCGAGTCGAGTAATTTACTTACGCGGACGCAAGGCGACTCTTCGCACTTTCTAAAATCGTAAGATAAGCTTCGTGGACCTCGCAAGAGCGGCTCCTTATCAGGCTTATCGGGTCGAGGTCCTCCCACGTAGGAAAGCCAGAAAGAACCTCGTTGGTTTCTTCTCACTTTTTCAATTTTTTATCTCTACCTACGTGACCTTCCTTTTTCAAAATAAATTTCTCCCTCTAATTGGACCTCGGGGTTCGTTCCGTTGTTTCTGTCGTCAAGCATAAGAGAATTGCTCCTGGGATACGGCGTGGACGTTGAACGCTTTTAATGAGCCTATTTTTGCCTTTTCGAGGGTTCAAAAAGGAACGCCGCGTTTAGAAAGCCGTCGGGCGCGTTTCTTTCGCGCATATTTTTACGCAAGAGGCGGCTTCTACGGCTTCCGATGCCTTCCGGAAGTGTTGGACCAAGCCAGGGGCGAATTTGTTGCGTGCAGAGAGTAAAGAAATTTGCACTCTTAAAAAAGGACAGCATTGCCGGTGAAGTTTTCCTCTTGCCACAGTGATATTTGTACCGACAGCAAAAACGTTTGCAATTGTATTAAATGTGAACGTAACCCTAGTGGCGCAAAATATTTGTCCTATATTTTCTATATATTTAACGAATATCGTACATTTTGTAAATATTTAGCAGACATTTGAAATATTTGCAAAACGTTTACTTTAGAATATTATCTCTATAATATTTATATAATATTAGCTCCACGTTGTTTCATAATATTTTTCTACCAGATATACAAAACATTTCGTTTCATTTTAATACAAGTATTTTTTAAATATTATCTGCCGAATACGTTATAAACGTTTTAAAAATATTTAAAATCAAATTCACAAGTTTTGCTTCCATAATAAAATAGCGGAACGACAATATTAGAATAATTTCTCGTCTTTGTTGATACCAAATGAAGTGTCCGATAATAGTCGCGGAGTAAAAAATGTATTTTTATTATGTTAATAAGTTAAAAAATATAATTTCTCTACATGTTTATAAATTATTGAAACTAAATATGTCATTTAGATTTTCAAAAAATATTTCAAATATCTTCGAATGAAATCTACAAGAAATCATAAGAAATCTGTCGCATGAGATATTTCGCAAAAATTACAAAGAAATGTTTAGAAATTATTCTATGCTACTAGGGAACCATCGAACTTGCTAAATTATCAAATAAATTCCTAGCAACGGCAAAACAATATTATTACTACTTGATCAAACGAGTAATATACAGTTTGGCGTCGCTAGGAAAGAATATTGCAACCATGAGTAATTCAGCTGTTCCAGTGGACAATATAATTACAAATAAATGATTGTTGTCCATACAACTAAAACGTTTTTGCAAGAAATTATGCTGGCCCATTTTTGCTAAAACAGGTCACTTTTTTTATTACGACTGAATCCTTTTTCTGCGTGTAATTTTTCACGAGGTGGACTAGTACGCTTTTATTCTTTTGTCTCGTCTCGATTAATGGAATATTTGGAACAAGCTATGCATTATTAAAAAAGCGGCCTGTAAATTACATTATTTGCCGTATACTTCGTTATGTTTCAAAATGGGGCAACGATGTTGACTTAATCCTTTCGCTCCGAAGAATGCTTGTGTATGTATATGAGAGAACGCGGACACGAAGAGTGTATATGTACATACGTCTTTGAAAAATGGTCCGCAATCGTGCGTTCTAAGCACTTCATTCATCCGTGTCGAGTTATCGCACTCCAACTACGGCTATCACATTATTTTCCTAAGCGCACCAGAGCGAAAGTGTTAACATCATTTGTCAATGTACGAAAGTTCTTACGGCCGGATTTGGTACAACTTTTACTCTGCAACCTTAAGCAGTCTTGTTTCCTTCTTTAAATAATACGTTAGAAGGGAAAAGACGATTCTCTATCGATATTTGTTTCATTAAATAATGGACTCCTAAACAAATTTTCCCAGTCAAAATGTTTTGCGCGCCGAAATTTTGGGGGAAAAATGAAAAGTTTCGTACCCTCACTTGGGGAAATATAGATCGTAAAAACCTTGAATTCCGAACTTGTTGACTACTCGTGGGATTAAACTATTCATTACTTCCCTAGAAGAAATAATTGCAGGGAATTACTTCTTTTATTCCTTGAACTTTACCGTGAACTTCATCTGCGTCTTTGTACGTACCGCATCCAGCCACATAAACCGAACACCACGACCGAGCCAACAAGAAACCTGTAACTTTAACAACCTGGGAGAACACACTTTCTCCACTAACCCACACAAACCTGAGGTAAAAATGTGACATACAATTTCCAACGTCAATTAATATCCCAGTGTCGCTAGAATTTTCTAGCAGAACCACCTCCATTTCCTTTCAGTGATTCAAACATTTTCTTTCTCGTCAATATAAGAATTTTAAAAACATTCCACGATCGATCACAATCTCCGTGTCGCCAGAATTTTCATTCGAAACGAACTTAATTTCCCTCTAACACCTCAAACTTTTCCTTTTTCGACCGACGGAAGAATGTCAAAACCACTTATATTATCAACGATCATTTCAGCATCACTAGAATTCCCTAGCATTCCCCGGCCAAAATAAAAATTTGAAAAACATTCCGCGACCAACCATTATTTCTGTACCGCCAGAATCTTCGTTCAAACCCAACAGCGTTTCTCTCTGCCGCCTCAAACTCTTCCCCTTTCCACAGACAAAAAAATGCCAAAACAACTTCCACCATCGACAATCATCCCAGCCTGGTCAGAATCCTCGAGGAGACTGAACTCGACATCCTTTGAAAGCTTCGCAAACTTCCTCCTTTTCAACGACGCTTCGCCCCTTGTCCTTTCCCAGAATCACGGAAACTTGACTAACGATCATTACCAGTCGGGACCACAAAGGGAACCTCTTTCCCAAAAAAGAGGGACGCCAGGCCCCAAGGAAGTCCGGGAAAGCGATTACAGAAGAGGGTGGAGTCTAGCTAGGGTGGTTAAAATCATCCGAACCTCTGTTTCCAGTGGGCGACCAATCCCGAGGGATCCTCTCTTGGGTGGCGAACACCCCTAGGAGCTCCTACTACATGATGAACGTAGACGGGCACAACTTGTACAGATTGAATTACCCGCTGAGGCTGAACAAGTGGTACCACTCGTGCCAGAGCTGGAACGGCCGCACCGGAGAGTGGCAGATCTGGGTGAACGATGAGCGGGTGGGTCGTGGCTTCAACAACAGGGTAAGCGGGGTGCATTGTCTTCAGGGTTGCGACCACCGCCAAGTTTTACCTGTAAACGCGACCTAACGATTCCGCCGAGGTGTCGGCAACAAGTTACGAAGTCACTTCCTTCCGGGAACCGCGTCTTCGCTGGATTCCGCACAGGAAACCTCTGGGGACCAAGACTGATCCCGGGTTCCTGGAGAGTCTCAGTGGTTACACCGGATTACCTGCAACTAGGACTCGCATACTCTTCTCGGAGGAAATTTACACGGTGGAATGTCCATTACCTAGGTAGCTGTTAGGGATCTCTGCTAAAATGCAAAGGAGATTATGCGTTGTCTGAATAGTAGATTGTCCGGGCGAAGAGAGTAAACATTAAACTAAAGACGGACTTGAACCTGTAAATAATTCAATCGACTCAAATATATAATGTGGGAAGAATAATTGCCGAATCATGGAACGTGAATCTCACAGAGTTTAAGAGAAATGCGTGATTCTGGAACGGGTATGATCAGCATCGGAAAAGGTGTCCATAGATTAGGATGAACGTAAAGTTTAATAAACTCTGCCATTTAACGCCTAGACTCGGTCGGTCCTCAATTTCGAGAAGGTCGACACCTGAATCGGGATTTCGAAAGTCGGGAGGGCGGAATCAGAGAAAGTACTCAGAGGCTCAAGTGTACAGCCTAGCAGTTACGGTCGGTTGCGTTGCTCCCCATGACTCGTGCATCAGATAGGAACTCCTACCTCCGCGGTAAGCGTAATCGAGAATAAATGACCGTGCAGCTCTTCCGACCCAGAAACTTCCGGTAAAGCGCACATAGGCGCCTCGTACCCATCAACGCCACACACGAAACGCCTTATCCAGGAAAACTACTCCTACGTACCTCAGCACAAAAATGAGATAATCGCGTAAGACCCGGAGGACCGTCTGCACGTTCTTACCCTTGCAATTTCCCTGAGAATGTGCAATATTTTTCAGCTAGTTGGACACGTGATAAAGGGTGGCGGAGTGGCAATTTCCGGACAGGAGCAGCGCCAATTGGGTGGTGGATTCCTGGAGGGCGAGGAAGCCCCCGAGGGTAAGTCTAAAGTACTTCGTGGATCCCTTAAAGTTCCTCGAAAATGCCTCGCTGATCCTTTAAGGTGCCCTCGATAAAAGTTTGCTCTCCTGGCTTCACCTCGTTTCCTTGGTAAAACAAGTAGCTGAGAATTAGGGCGAACAAGAAGCAGTTAGAATCCGATACCTCTTTTCTGCACCTTTTGCAGCCTCTGGGGGCTATTTGGGAGAGCTGACGATGCTCCAGCTCTACGGCGTGGCCTTGACTGCTGGGAAGGCTCATAAAGATCACAAGCATCATCATGCACATCATTATGAGCACGATACCAGCAACAATACTCCTAGGCCAACAACTAAACCTCCCGTTACTGGTCCGCCGTTGCCGATGCACCCATTCTTAACTGGAGGCCAGATCAATCATCAGGTACGAAAAGATTTTTCCATCTCTCTCATAATTTTTGCGATTCCTGAATTACAAAATAGTCCGATATATACGTCTATTAACCAGGGCGCTATAAATTTGATTTTGCGCTTTGAAAGTCCTGAAGATGAACCATCGATTCCATATTCTTCATCAATATTTGGTTCTCAGAATCAAAGTGACGATATAATGGGAATTCTTCTATTCCTTCTTAATAATTGTGAAGATAATATACGTATGTGGCAGTCAAAGTGAAACAATATCATTTCTTTCATCAACACGGTGCCAACTGCTGCAGTTCTTTGCCACTCTGGTTTACTTTTATTTCTCTATTGCATTTACCAGTGGTGTTAAATTAACAAAATAATGAATCAATTCCGTTTTAGGTGAAGATCAATCTGGGTGCGCCGCTCCAGGTTACCCAAAACGGGGTGACGCTTAGACACCCTGCATTGCCCCCTCAGGCACCAAGTCTTCAGACATACCCACCTGCCAACCCCAGCAGCCTGTCTTCTCAACCAACAGCTTCGACATCCTTTGCAGGAGTCCCGTCTTATCCAGGGACGTACTCCACGTCCGAATACTTTGGGAACCGAGTTCCTGACTTTCAGAATCTGCAAGGTACCTCCAGCGGGGTCGGCAACGGTTTCAGCTTCATCAGCGGAGAGTATCACGATCTCTTCAAAAGAGATAAAGACGTGGTCAAGAGAGATACTCCCGAGGTGGCAAAGACTTCAGAGGCCAAGATTGCCAAACGCGAAACGAAGTCGGTCGATAAGGTAATCTGGACGATCCTTAGGACGATTAAATTCCGACTTCGATCACTTTCAAAGCAGTTTATGTTGCCACCTTTCGGAACATATCGATGAAGTTTCATGAAAATTTCTAGGTGTCCTTCGTTCCTGCTGAGGAGGGTACATTCGGCGACAAGGTCGTCTCCAAGCGAGATTCGGAGAAGAAGAAGAGGGGCCTTTTCCATCTGTCCGATGGTTCCATCATCGACGACTCCTTCCTGGCACCACAGGGGTTGGATGAAGACTACTTCTCTGGGTTGGCGAGCTTCGGACTTCAACCGAGCAACAAAATCAATCAAATACCACCTCAATCGGCCAAGGAAGATGAACGAGAGCCCGCCGAGGGGGAGGTCAAGCTAGTAATGAACATCTGCGACGGCTGCGCTGAAGAACCCTTCGAAAAGGCTCTGGTTATGGGCTGGAGGAGTGTCCCGAAGAAGCTGTACTCTGGTGCTCTTTATCTTCAAGCCGCCCAAGCTTGCAAGAGGTTCTAACTCACTTGATGATAAGATGCTGCGTTTTGGGCCGCTGGTTTGTCATCCCTCCCGAGGTATCGTGGTGGTGCCAGAAATTCGTTCGGTGCTCTAAATGTGTAAACTTCGGGGAAAATTACAATGCGAGGATCAGCCAGAACGGGACGAGACCATATCGAATTTTCTCCCGGATCAAGTAAAATGATCCGACATTTTTATCGCGAAGATAAGCGTGCCGCTTCTACATTGATGCCGATTTATGTTAGGTTATAGTAGACATCGAGAATCAATTCTCAAGTAGAAGCGACAAATGCAGAAACTAGTTACCTAAGGCTAAGGCTACACTACAACCGATTGGATCCGTTTACATCAGACCAGACCAGACCAAGGTAGATCCTTCTGGCTCATAAACGTGGCCACACATTGTTCGTCAGATCAAGTACGGACAAAGTGTAACCACGTCTAGGAGAAGGAATATTTGATCCGATCTAAACGGATCTGATCAGGTGTAGTGTAGTCACAATCTAAGAATGTCTACGTTTAGGATGTCAGGATGCTAGAAACGTATTTTGGTTTAAATCAGTTACTAAAAGCAAAAACAAGAAGTCCCTTCCAAAACGGGGAAAGGTCACTTCTTGTTATTTGGTTCTTCGATCTTAAATTAATATCCCTTGTTAGATAAATAATTCTGCATTGCGAGGCTCACGCGAGATACGAAGTTTCCTCCGGAAGGAGGCAAGCTCCCATTTTTTTAATTATTCATTTTGTACCGATTTTAATGATAACCTTGATCGTAAGTTTCTCGCTGCAGAGAAAGAACGTCGAGTTACGGTTCTGATTCTGCAAGCGACGTATTTTTTTTTAAGGTCCATCGCTTACCGGTCATTAAAGTACTCATATAATTGTATTTATTTATGACCATGGTCAAGAGTGATGCCGAAATGAATGAAAATACTCAAACATACCGTCGAAGAAGACAGGAAATACAATCCTATCTTCTACTTGAAGACAGGAGTTTCCATAATTGTTTAATACCTCTACCTTAAGTAACTATAATCACGAACCGCCATTTCCGATATCGTTAAATAATATGTATAAACAATGTACAAATTACATTTTTTTTACCAGTGATGTTTACAATGTCTCCTCATTTTCAATTCTTATCATCGATCAGAAATCCCAACACCCGAAAATAATACACATACGTAGTACACCAAGGAAAAAAATTGCAGTTTCAATTATTTATTCGCTCTGCCATCGATTGGGTGATCCGTAAGCAAATACCTAGCCATCGTCGATATTAATTCAATTCTCATTATAGACCAGAAATCCCAACCCCCGAAAATAATACACATACGTAGCACATCATGGGAAAAAACCGCAGTTCCGATTGTTTATTCATTTTGCCAGCGATTGGGTGATCCGTAAACAAGTACCAAGCCATCGTCGATATTAATTCAATTCTCATCATCGATCAGAAATCCCAACACCCGAAAATAATACACATACGTAGCACATGAAGGGAAAAAATCGCAGTTCCGATTGTTTATTCATTTTTCCATCGATTGGGTGATCCGTAAACAAATACCTAGCCATCGTCGATATTAATTCAATTCTCATCATCGATCAGAAATCCCAACACCCGAAAATAATACACAATACGTAGCACATCATGGGAAAAAACCGCAGTTCCGATTGTTTATTCATTTTGCCAGCGATTGGGTGATCCGTAAACAATTACCAAGCCATCGTCGATATTGAACCTAGGGCCTTGACAGACGTAAAACTTCTTGCAGACCAATCAAACCGATTGCGAGCTCGACGGGCCTCGCCTCGTTCCTTCGCTTAAAAGACACTGGCAAGTTTAGCAGGAAACTTTGAGCACTCGCCGTCCCGAGATCCTGAAGGATAGATTGGAGACCTTGTTAGAGCCACGTCGCCACTTACCTTGCTCTTGTGGATGTGCTGATGTTGAAACTCGCTGTCAAACTCTGGCTCGCTGAAGTAACTCTGGTCTTCCCAGTGCGGAGGAAGGCCAGAGCTACCTGGTGTTCCTAGAGGACCTGGTATTCCCGCTCCTCCGTCGCCGCTCTCGAAGAGTCGGAGGACGCTTCGATCCCTGATGTCCCTCAGGTGGGATCTGCAAAGGAAAGAGGATCCACTGAACTTCCTTCCTCTTAGCTTGAGAAAAATGGTTTACTTGTATTCCGGACTTGTTTCCGAATTTCTTAGATTTCCTACATCATTAATGGTGAATTATTAGTGACTCTAAGTAACATTTTAAACGGGTCGACGTATTGTTATTTATTAAGAATATGTTCTATGTTGGGAATAGTAGGTGGGACCTACAAAAGGGAACGAGATCTCGGTAAGCTTACTTCTGAATTAACTTAAAAAGAGGTTTATTTGTTCTCCGAACTTGTTTTCGAATTTTGTAGATTTCTTACGTCGGTATGTTAATGTCAGTGGCGATAATTACCTCTCTTAAAGAATTGATAGATCATTTAGATCTAAAGGTTCTTATTACACATTAAGAATACGTCCTATGCTGGGTATAATTTTAAACAAAATCTATGAAATGAAAGTATTTTTCAAAGGATGTTCTTATCTAGATAAAGGGAAGTGTTCCAAGAAAGGGATTTACTTAAAAATTAAAAAATATTGCCCCGGATGAATACTGTAAGGGAACTTCAAACTGAGCTTTTAGGGGATAAAGTTACCGGCCTTTAAGTTGTTGACTACTTTTTATGGTCAATACAAGGTATCTCGAAAGTGTCTAAAACACTGTTGCAGGAATTAATTATCGACTAAAGTAGTTCCACGTAATTCATTAAGATAAAGGAACGATTTTTCATATTTTCACCTGCAATTTAAAACAAAAATAGCGTTATACGCATAATAATACGCACGTTCAGCCTGCTCTGATAAGTTCCGACAAAACATTATTTGCAAAAACGTCGATTAAAGTTTATCCCGATGTCGGAACGTGCAGGACGATGTCGAATAGCGTATATAGTCCGATTCAAAGGCAAGATATAATGTTTTGTCGCATCGCTGTCGGTACATGTCGAATATGCAAATCAACCATTGGTCAGCTTCAGGCAGTTCTCTACAATGATAAACTGACAACTATTAAATCCGTCAGGTGAAATGTCATATTGGAACTCCTAGGGGTCATTTTAATAGCTTTCAGAATATTAAAAACAACCCTCGCTGCGAGGGAAAGGACTCACCTAAGGTCCTCGAGTTCGTAGAACATGTCCTTGTTGCTGTCGTGGATGTAAACCTTGACGTGCGGACTGTCGAGGTACTCCATGGTCAGCTGTTTCGGGAAACTCCTGACGAAGAGAGCCTTGACGGTGTCTATGCTTGTAATTTCGTTTGGCAGGAGTGCCCTCTTCGTCTCGTTCCTGTACTGCAGGAACACCAGGCCTAGGGAGTCGCCAACAGAAATTAAATGTTTTGTCAGAAAGCCTCGTTGATTAGATTTGCCCTCGTTAAATCGTAATTCCCTTTTCCAGATTAAGTCCCGGGAATAAAGTGCGAGTTAGAGATTAGTTATGAACTTTACATACGGCATCCCATGTAGCAACGCCAATTGGTACAATACTAATAAACTGTAGTTCATACAGCATGTGAATATTGCTCCGATATCGAAATGTGAACGTTTGATTTAATTAGCTGAATATTCCATTGAAATATACAAAATCAATATGTATCCCATATTATATGAATATATTGAATGTAATATGTACTGGGACGTGAAATATTATACTGGATCAATGTTGCATCTACATATTACCAATATTTGTTGCTACAGGGGATGTACCTCTAACTGAACAGTAGATATCTCGACAGATAGCTGATGTGTCAAACACTGATCAATTTAATCGACATTTCTGCACGCAATTGCTGCCCAATTTTCACGACTTGGCATTCATTTTGTTCACTTCCGAGCGTCGTTGGATTTTCTATTTGACGATTTCCTCATGTAAATTACCTAGTGGTCGCTCCAAAGTCTTGCTGGCAGTTCGTACGACGGGCAAGCTGCTCCTTTGCTTGCCACCTCGATGAAACCCGGTGCTGGAAGTCTCGACCTCGGACATGATGCCCGGGTCGTCGTCGAAAAGCATCGTCGAAGAGGGCGGTGGATACCCCCTCGGAAGAGGCGACTGAACACATAGGGAAGAATTCGATTAACGATTGGTCGAAAGAAAAATACAGGAGGAAAATTCTCAGCGGCATGAAAAATGAGCTTCCACTTTCAGCGCTCTCCGACATCACTCAAACTAAATCGAAAAGCTCATTTTTCATATTTCCGCATTCGCGTGAATTATTGTTAAACTTGAACGGCACGTAACTAAATCTCCGAGAAGCTACTTTCAGGATAGAATGCCCGAAGCAAAATGTGTCTCTTTAAACGGAGTAAACATTTTTTCAGTTTCTACATTCCCCGGGAATTTCGAAACGTCGGAAAGTGGAATTACAACTTATCCAGCTCCTTATATCGAAACAGAAACAAATGATTACTTCATGGATACAGAAGGCAGAGCAAGATGTTATTGAAATTCTAATTTAAATGCTACTTGAAATCTCATTGGGGAATTTACTTCGAACGTCGGAGAAAGATCATACGACTTGTTTTCCTTGACTTTTCCTTTGACTCTCCTGTCCCCTTCAGGGAAATTCAAGGAAAGTCTTTCCAAGGTATTGATAGAATACTTGTTTGGGGAGACTCGAAGATGAAATGAAAGTATAAGAACGCAAGAAGGCGCATTAAATTCGACTCCAACGAATAGAATGGATACAGAAGGCAGAGCAAGATGTTATTGAAATATAATTCTAATTTAATTTCTACTTGAAATCTCGTTGGAGAATTTACTTCGAACGTCGGAGAAAGATCATACGATTAGTTTTCCTTGACTTTTCCTTTGACTCTCCTGTCCCCTTTGGGGAAATTCAAGGAAAGTCTTCCCAGGTATTGATAGAATCCACCTGACGGTGCTGGAAACCGTTTGATCGTAGATGTCGTTAACAAGCTTTTCCAACTTGAAGCGCCTTAACCTTAAGCTATTTTATCATCAATCTTCTTCAGAGCCCCGCTAAGTTACTTCCTGAAAGATAGGAGCTCATTGTTCTTCTCGAAGCCGACGCGACTTTCGATTGGCTCATCAACCTCTACTTTACGGCCGTCCTCGTGCAAACTAGTTAAGGGAAAACTTACTGAAAAATAATTCATTCCCTTTTCCTTCCGCTCCAACGATTTCAAAAAGCAGTGAAATCGGATGCTATCAGATATAATTTTTAATGCGTCTTCTTGCGTTCATATACTTTTATCTTCGCTTCTCCCCAAACAAGTAAATAAGTAGTTGAACCAAAATCGACTCGTTCATTGCAGGAAAAAGCTCTAGACAGATTTTTTCGTTTTAATTTAAGAAAGAGGATTTAAAAAATCATCAATGTCCGGTATCGAATTCAGAATCAAATACGACATTAAAAATCTGTACTACTTACGTTTTCCCTGCCGTTTGATAATAACACTTAAGAATTATTTTTCCACTGAGATGTAAATAAGTGAAAAGAAAATAAGAGAACTTACTCGGTCTTCATAAACGACCCCCACTTTAAAGTAATCTCTCTTGGATAGATTCCTTCAATTTAATACCGTTTACTAAAATTACCTTCCTAAAAATCGAAATATTTTGCAGGTATTAAAATATTGTCCGTGACACGAGTGGATGCATAATTCGTTTGGGAGCTAAACAGTCCATCAATTCTGACTTTCATAGTTAACAACCTATTTTACCTGATTTTTAATAACAATGCTGTCTGCCTTCTTGTTCCTTCTTCTCCCAAAGTTCACTTTTTCGTTTCTGTTTCGCGGCCAAGTAATGGGATAGAAAATCGAAAGTGAACGTTTCAATGAAACAACTCCCATGCAACGTGCGATATTACGAGACACTGGGCAAGATACGAAGGGGGAAAAAAGGGAGACGATAGAAAAATGGAATAAACTGGGTAGAATTACCTTTCTCGGGCGAGACTTGGTCCCCATCTGCTAGGCGGATGAACACGGAAACACACAGAGACACAACGAACGGGTTAGAAACATGTACGGGAAGCCGGATGGACAGCAAAGTTTTAAAGGGACTTTCGTCCTGTGCATTCGCAACTTTGACGGCGTGAGGCGAGCCTGGCAAAAACTTTAATAAAACATATTTCCGAAGTTTCTTTAAGGTGAAGTGAAACACGTCGAGGAACTTGATCGACGTCGATAAAGACTTTTCTAAATGCCTACGTTCCCGACGTTCGTTTTTATATTAACAGCTGTATCGAATTATATTGGATATTGTCCCAAATGGCATACACCACCTGTCGTTTTCGTACAATAAATATCAAGAAATCGAAGTAAAACTCCAGAAATCCTCTGGATTCGTGCTTTCTGGAGCCCTAATTGACTGCAGAGGGACACCCTGCGCCATCTGTGATTTCCAGATCAATTAAATTTTCACTCCGAGACCTTGTCTTCCCATCGATTTAGCATAGAAGCGCATACAACACTTTTTTTGCCTTTATCCCATTAAAATGCGAGTTTATCGATTACCAGAGTGTTCTAAATTGTCGTAAAATTGTCCTGATCCTTTCGTTTCTCGTATCAGAGCCTTCGATAATTGTATATTGATCGAAATATGAGAGCTCGACGCCATTTTGGTTCTGGTCTGGGCTGAGTTAAAAGAATTTTTAAAAAAATCCAAATTTTGAATGTGTCAGGACAATTCTTAGATGATCAGGAGTGACGTGTCAAAGTTTCGGACAGTTTGGTCTGATACCCTTAAAAAAAGTGTTGTATTCGAATCGATTGGTTTGAAGGGTGTTTCACTTCACCTTAAGGACAGTGAATTAATTGCATCCTTTTTGCTTGCAGAGCAAAGAGAGTCCCGGAAAGGTGAAGTAACTGGTCTTCGAGATGGAACGTCCTCGACTTTATGCGACACGTGTATCTCTTTCCTGGCATCGACCTCGAGGTGTACTTAGAGGTCTTTAGCCTCGACTTAGACGTGCACATAGTTGCAACAAGCCGGACGCGTTCTGCCAGTGTCACTTTTATGTCACAGTGCACGTTTCCCTCGCGACGGGTGACATAATGTCCGATCAGCGTGACGTTTAAAGTGCTCTGCCGATAACCACGTCGCGCGGCCTTAAACGCGATGATAAATTTAGATAAATCGAGAGAACCGCCCTTTCCAAAAAATTATAAAAAAAATACGACTTACACGTTCCTAACTAAAGAAAAACACAAGCCCTGCTCGGCAAAAAAAAATCCCAACTCCTAAAAATAAAAATCTGGGACCAACATATATGCCCATAATTATGAAAGTGGTCTAAGTCAAAATTAAAAAAAAAAAATGAGTTTATCAGTTATTTCACGCCATATTATTTCAAACGAAATTAATTCAATGTAATTTCGAAACAAAAAATACATGACTTAGACCACTTTCATAATTATGGGCACATATATCGATTAGGATAATTTAGAGGTTCACGATTAGTCATTACGTTATGTAGCCATCAAATAGGCGCAACTTGGATTTTAAAGCGATGCCGTTTTTCAGACGAACAATGTATAATAAGTCCATCGAGAAATGCCCCGCTAAATTTTCTAAGCTCCTACTAAAACTTTAATTATAAGTGTAATTAGGTGTAAGTTGAATTGTATTAATTGTGGGTTACGTTGACTTGACGTAACCCGTAGTCACGATCGAAGAATAGTTTAGAAAGAACGGAAATTCGATTTGATTCACATTCTCGGAATTGAGGAACGTTCCTATTCTCGCTTGACCTCATATTTCTATGAGAGGAGCGTAATCCGAGAAATATTATATTCGGTGAATAAATAAAGACCTCGCGTTACGGCAGAAATTGTAAGGAACGGTTTAAATGAAATGAAGCAGTCATGAGGGAACTTAATCTCCTATTCTGGACGCAAAGTCGACACAGGGCACACCTCGATGCATTTTCATGAAAAAAAGAAAGAAAAAAAAGAAAAAGTCCGAGGGAGAGAAATTCCGAGCGAGTACAGAGGAAGTACACGACTCGCAAAGTGATCCGCGAACGCCACCAGCGGCGGATTCGTTCGTCGAGGCTCTTTCCATCTCTTTTCAACCTATTTCCGACTCCTGCAGGTGTACTCTCTCGCTCTCCTCTTCTTCGCGTCTTCCATTCAGAGCCGCGGAGGAGTGCGTTTTGAAAAAATGCACCGCCAAGTGCACTCGACGCCTCGTAATCGAGACTCGGCTCCCATTTTTATCTCTGAATCGCATTTACGATAGACCGCATCGCTGTAGAATCATCTTCAATGTTTTCGGCCGGGCGGTAATCTCGAAGTGTCGGCGAGATCTTTCTTTAGGAAAGAGAGCAGGCCACTGGTGATGTCAAGTCCCACATCTTCAAAAACCCGACCACGAGGGGGCACGGAACGAAAAATGACTAACAATCGAGGGGAACGTTATCCACGATGAAATATACACCCATTATTAAGGGGATGTCCGAAAGCTCAATCGTTCATAAAACTTTTCATAGAACTGGGTGTCTCAAATCGTATCACACTTTAAAACGTGAATATGGAGACCCTAAGGTAGGTCCTGAAACTCGGGAAATTTCATTTCTTCTAAACTATTTTTAAAATACCTATAAACAAATTTGATAAGAATTGACATTTCATGAGTTTCAGGACCTTCCTTATAGTTTCCCTATTCGCGTTGTAAGGTTTCAAACTATCTGGTAAACCGAGTTGGGAGAAAAGTTTTATAAACAAAACCTTATCGACGCCACTTTCACATCACCTTAAGGGCTTGTTTTTTTTTTAAACATCTAACAGTTTTATAAAACGCGACCAGATGGTTAAAACTTCGTTCGCTTATCTTTATTATACAATCCAATTAGCCGGATTTAACAACCTGGTCACGACAAATGCCCACCTTCACCTCCCAACAAAAAGTTGCATATAAAACATTTCCATTCACGTGATATAAAGAATAAGAAAAAACAAACATCCCTTTCGTAGCTTCAAAAAGCGAAGGAAGAGGCCGCACTCCTAAAATCTCTCGCTACTTACAAAAAGGGATTAAAATAAATCACCAGTGCCCAAGACTCCCTCGGGAGGTCTTGAAACGTCGAGAGGAGCAAATCGAGCGGCAAAAGGGGGTTGAAAAATGAGAGCGCAGGCGCAATTGACAAAGAAAGAAAAAAAAGGCAAAAAAACTCGAAAACTAAAACCGGAAGAGAAAGGGGAAAGAAACGAGAAAAACGAGAGAAAAAAGGGAAAAAAGCCATTTACATGTTGCGGGAGGAAAGATTCACCTCGAGATCCATGGTGGTGTGCCGGGCGGGCGGGGTGCCGTACTGACTGTGGGGCCCGGGCGGGGGCAGGTGGTGGGGGTGGAGGGGGTGCAGCTGCTGGGCGTTAAACTGCTGGTGGTGCAGAGAGGGTTGGTGGTCGCCGCTGAGAGTGTGTCGGCGGGGCTCGTCCCTCGAGCGGCCGCCGCCGCCGGGGGCGCCCGACCCCCTGGGGCCCCCGCCGCCCCCCAAGACGCCGCCGCCTCTTCTGCCTCCAGGAAGCTCGTTCGGCCCTCCCTCAGCCTCCAGCCTGCCGGGGCCACCTGCGAACATGCCGAATCCTCGTCATCACGGGTCCCATCAGGGCTACCAGGGCTATCTATGCTCGCAAACGATAACGCCGGGTTATCTCCACCGGGTGGCGAGTTTACCAGGCTGATAGGGAAGGGTGGGATGGGTGTTGGAACAGATGTAGAAATAAGTTTCATTGTACAAGGAAGGTCCGTCTGGTAAGCAGGCAATAATCGTAAATGCATTCAGGAATACTTAGCAAGAACCTTTGCCGATCCTAAGCCTTTCTACCTTGGCAGACGGAGCTTCTTTCCTCGCAAGGGAGGGTTTTCAGGCGTCCGCCTCCGATTGTTTTGGTTCTTGGATAGGTTTTAGAGGGCCAAAAAATAAGAAACACGTGTATTTTTATATCGGCCCGTTTGCACATTTAGGGGGTGAAACAGCCCCTCAAAGTTCATAAGAAGAGGTATAAAAATTGCTAGTTTGACGAATAATGTGGTGAGTAAAACTTGTTGTAAATTTAAAATACGTCATAACTTGCTTGGTATATAATGTTCTTATCGGTATTCACTCTTACCTGGGGGTAAACTACCCCTAACCATACAAAGACACGTATAGAGACTTGAAACGTAGAACATGGTCATTAAATTCTTAAGAAACTTTAAGCATCAATTATTTTATTATGTTAAAATAGTGGTTTAATGACCTTCTATCACTATTGAGGGGTGAGACACCCCTAATTAATTAGTTACGTTTGTCTTATAATAAAAAGTGTAAAAGACGCGTAATCTTCGAACGAATGCAATTAAAATTCATGATGTGAACAGTATTTCATAAAGATGGAGCTCTAAAATATCACCATAGTAACAACTACCCCCAACGGAAAGTCCACCCCAATAGAGCCACTTATGTCCGCTCTGGAAAAAGAAAATGTTTACACGTACAATCGCTGTCCAAATGCAATGAGAATTCAAACAAGCACAAAGAGAATGTGCCAAATGGTGGCTAAGTCTCTATCAAGTCTCAAGTCTCGATATGTGTCTTTATATGGTTAGGGGTAATTTACCCCCAGGTAACGGTGAATACCGATAAGAACATTATATACCAAGCAAGTTATGACGTATTTTAAATTTACAACAAGCTTTATTCAACACATTATTCTATAAACTAAAAATCCTTATACCCTTTCTTATGAACTTTGAGGGGCTGTTTCACCCCCTAAATATGAAAACGGGCCAAAATAAAAATACACGTGTTTCTTATTTTTTGGTCCTTTAAAACATATTCAAGATCCAAAACAATCGGAGGCGGACACCTGAAAACCCTTCCTTGTTAATTAAGGGTAACAATAACTGTCCATTGTAACCGGACGGCGCGTTTATGATGGACCCACCTGGGTTCAAAATACCATTTAAAGCACGTTGACTGCGCCGTCTGATCTCTTCCCCACCCCAAGTGCCATCTTGGATTTTCCAAAATCTCGGCCAATCAAGGGGCAGGGTGTTGCCTAGCTTTATGAAATTCAGCAAATCAGAAACTTCGGCGCACGACACCCAGCTCAGAATATTTTATGCTCATGTAGGAAGATTGGTTTTAAATACAGAACTAAAACACAGCGTGTTCGTAGACTCAAGATACCAGGGCGCAACAGTGGGGATTATTTAACCTTTGGTGAAATTGGTTCGGACTGCTCTAGAATGTCGAGGGGTATCGGAATTCTTGGCCATTGGAGATCCCCCAGGGTTTGATGCGTCTGGGATGAAGGGCCCGTTCGCATTGCGCGTTGGTTAATACAATGGCCCTGTTGTATCGCTTTTGCGAGCAAACCTCGCGTGCCTTCCTCGTGAAAATACGTAAATATGTGTGGCCTTGCAAACGCAAGATGGCCGGCCCAATGCGTTAACTAACGTTAACTGAAGAAAAAATCTGCTACGCGTGGACGGGGCTTAGAAGGCTGAAAGGGGAAATGCGTAAAGAATGTTTCATCAAACTGGGATTAACTTCTATCGGACGTGTGGGGTCTCGAAACTCTAGGAAATTTTTATGAAAGTCCCCCGAGTCGATATTTTTATCCTGCGATATCAGGGCGGGTCGTTTCTATATAGTTAAGGTTCTACTTGAACTTTGACAGTGGGAGATATTTTCATTTTTCTTGCTCGTAGGTTTTAGTGGAATTTAAAGAGGAACATAAAAGTAAAACGGATCTTCCTTAGGTACGAAGGCTCGATGTAGGGCTAAAATTTCGACTCGGGTCAGATGTACATACGCGTATATGTGTATAATCAATAAATAACGCAGGTTTATCCGCTGGATAGCATATCGGTTATTGGATTCAAAGAAAAGATATACCATGGAATTGATTCAACGCTTAATGGAACTGGTTCAGACCGCCCACAGACATCAGCTGATGGGTACCGGAATTCTCGATCAATGTAGATCTTTGCAGAAGAGACGGCTCCCGACTGCGCAATAACACGAGGTAGCTGCTAATATATTATCCGATATATCCGTTAACATGCTGATAGAAGGTAGTTAGCATTAAATCTGCTTAATCAACGTACTGGGGTTTAGTATCGAATTAATAATAAAACCAGTTTCAATGATTGACGAAACTGGTCCCTGCCATTCTTGGCCACCCACGAATACTCTTGATAAGTGAGGCACGTTTACGATCACTCAATTATCTACCGAATATTAATTAATTCCAGGTTTATCGTCCAGGGCAATGCGTCCACTTTTGCCCCGAGAAAGAAAAGAAAGTTTAACGCTAAATCGTTTCGACGATTAATGAAACTGGTATGCGCCATTCTCAACCACCCGGAGACCTTAATCATCGGAATTCTCTGGGAGTTCGGCCGTAGTTGTGATAACGCAAATTATCTCCCGAATAGTTAGCCGATATTGGCTCGAGACAAAAGGTTGGACAGTGAATCACTGTAATGCTTAACGAAGCTCGTTTGGCCCACCTGCGAAACTCAGGAACCTTAATCATTGAAAGTCCTTCGGAGTCTGACGTGACAACGATATCGATATTCTAAGTTATTTACCTTGAATAGTTATTCCACGTCATGTGATAAAAATCCAACAACAGATTACTATGACACTGAATGAAATTCATTTATGTCTGCCTTAATTGTATCCTCTCCTGTCAACGTCAGAAACTCCGCCATTCGAGGTTCCTAGGAGCCGTCGCAAGCCACGCTTGTAAATAAACAGAATAAATAATAATAGCTATTCGATGGAAATTGATTTATTTAGTTCGATCGGGAGAAAATTGTAGGATGAAGCAGGATAAAATAGTGAAATCGTGAGAAAGAAATTTCGGCGGTCAAGTTACGTGGTAAAAAAAGGAAGAAGCCGGTGACACCGAGTCGGTCTGTTTGGCAGAAAGTAGCGGTCCAAAGTCATTTACCTTAAATAGTTATTCCACGTCATGTGATAAAAACCCAACAATAAATATACGATGAAGCGGGATAAAATAGTGAAAACGTGAGAAAGAAATTTCGGCAGTCATGTTACATGGTAAAAAAGAAAGAAGCCGATGACACCAAGTCGGCCTATTTGGCAGAAAGTAGCGGTCCAAAGTCATTTACCTTAAATAGTTATTCCACGTCATGTGATAAAAACCCAACAATAAATATACGATGAAGCGGGATAAAATAGTGAAAACGTGAGAAAGAAATTTCGGCGGTCATGTTACATGGTAAAAAAGGAAGAAGCCGATGACACCAAGTCAGCCTATTTGGCAGAAAGTAGCGGTCAAAAGTCATTTATCTTGAATAGTTATTCTACGTCATGTGATAAAAATCCAACAAAAAAATATACGATGAAGCGGGATAAAATAGTGAAAACGTGAGAAAGAAATTTCGGCAATCAAGTTACATGGTAAAAAAGGAAGAAGCCTGTGACACCAAGTCGGCCTATTTGGCAGAAAGTAGCGGTCAAAAATAGCGCTTTCGTGGAAGGGGCCGAAAATAGGTGCGGCAGGGTGTCGCTCGTTTGTTTATTTCATGGTTTATTTACGCCGAGGATACGCCACAGGAAGAAGGCAAGGCCGACACGTCGGAAGGGTAAGAGTCGAGTCAAGGCATAACGACTTCCGGGGTTGGATTATCCATGTTACTCGATCATCGGCCTGACGTTCGGAATGGACTTCCTGAAAGGAGTCAACTAAAACGCCTGACAAACATTTTTATCCCGAATAGATACTTCATTTTATCGACATGGTTATGTCCAAATTAAGGAGATGTGAAAGCGGCACCTGATTCGCCGATCGTTCATGAAACTTAACTCCGAACTAGGTATACCGAATGGTTTCAAACTTTACAACGTGAATATTAAGAGTACAAAGGTCCTGACACCCATGAAATTTCATTTTTATGAGGAATTTGTAAAATGTCTACAAACAGATTAAAAAAAAAAACTGAAATTTCATGCTTGGTAAGACCTTCCTTATAGCCTCCGCATTCACGTTATAAAGTCTGAAACGATTTGGTACATCCAGTGCTGAGAAAAGTTTCATGAACGAGACCTGCCAGATGACCCTTTCACGTCACTTTAATTTATTGATTCTGGGATAATAAATTTAAAAGTTCTGTCTGTAAAAAGAGGTTATTGTTAGAATATACCAAGGAAAACTGATACATCGAGATAAAGGAACCGGAAAGATCGTGGAGCCAACAGATTATCCTCTAATTACTCCGAATACTCCATTTCATTTACGCCTACTTGTGAGGATCATGTGTTCCGAGTGAATCATTTTCATGTCGCCTTGCAAACGGGTTGCGATTATCACA